AAGGTCCAGACACGCCGGACGCGATTCGACAACGCGACGCGATTTTTCGATTTTCACTGACCGTTAAATTTAATCCAAGTTTAAATATTCCAAATATTTAGAAGCGCTATAACATTCTAAGTTACTTGGTCTACATATGTTTCTAACTGATTTGTCTCATTGGCTGTTTTTCAAACTAACTGAAAAATCGCGTCGCGTTCTCGAAGCGCGTCCGGTGTGTCTGAATCTTAAGGTCTGATTCCACGACGGCGAAATTCGTCGCGAGAACTTGTGTCTGCGAAATACGGTGGTTGCACATGAGCGATTGTATTGAATTGTCCCACTTTGTCCGCTTTCGCAGTAAGTAGAAATGTTTCGCATTTCGCCGAGAAAAAAACGCTCGTGGAATCAGGCCTTTACTGCATTGATGGTGCATTCTCGAAATTACATTTTTACAGCAATTGTGCGAAATTGTGCTAGTTGAAATTATATGCCTGCTTCAGATATAATATTTACATTTAACTAGTGACTTCTAAATTAAGAGGACGAGAACCATTTATATCCCGAATCACGGCAACTGATAACAATCATACAAAAATGTTTCTTTTTATCTGGAGCTAAATATCTGCTATTCATACAGTTCATTACTTTTAAGAACAATTTAAAGAAAATAATTAATTAAGGCTGTAAAATGTGTGGATTTAAAGACGTGGGATTAGACGTCTGTACATGGAGTCATGAGCTAATAATAGTTTCTGACATTTAAAACAACAGGGCTACGTTTATCCTATACTTTGTTTTCATAGTTTAGCCTAGTTTCAGAGGCCTGCATTAAATAACAGTCAAGATATATACGCAAATATAATTTGCGTGTCTATTTAAAATTTGTAATTGTTTCGTGAAGATTCAACCATAAAACAATTGCCGGAAATGCAGGTCCTGTTTATAAAAACTCAGGGAAAACCCGTGCGGTATGAAATGCATGGCGTAAACATGTCAATCAAATATCTATAAATATGACGTTTTATATTTGCACAGTACATCGTGTACGTTCTTGTTGTAGAACTTGTGTTGCTCCAAATCGAGTATGAAGTAAAATCAGGAGCATACTGTCACAGGCTAATTTTGTATTTTAATACCTCTGGAAATATCAAGGCTTTGGTACCCCTATCTATCACAAAAAGTAACAAATCCAAAACGAAGTATGAGGACTAATATTTTTATATATATCATTTCACAGATTAAAAGTATTATTCAAGAAATATGTCCATTTTGATCTTAACGTGATACAAAAATACTAAATAACATGCAAAATTCAGTGCCAAAGAGGGATTTATTTTGTGGTAGTTAAATATGTAAACATATGTTCTCAAACTGGCAGAGTTTAATACCAATTAAAGCTCGCAATGCTATATATTTGGTTTGATACGAAGATAAAATAGTAAATACTCATAATAATTTAATTACAATATGTCCATGACCTTACTCAAAAATTTAGATTATTAAATCACATAATGGAACAACTTGCAATTTGCTACGCTCACTCGTTAGCAATAGTTCTCTTCAACACTCGAAATAAATTACATATTTCCGCACAACCATGTATAAATATCCTCTATACATTCCAGTTTACCTTTAATTTGTCAAGTGGTAGGCAAAATATTAGTCCTTTTGATTTGTTATTCTCTTGACCCAACACGGGAGTGATAGGAACTTGAAAAAATGACAGTTGCATACTTGCGTGTAATTTGCTCGGAGCAATTTGCAATCAACATTGCAAGATTGATTGCAATGTTGCAATACTCATGGGAACAGAACATCCGGTTTGACTGTAAGAGTTATATCAGTCCAAGACTGCTATAGAAGAAGATTTTATCAAAATAAAGTCAAGATAAAGTCTATTAATAGTTTAATACCACGATTACTAATGATTACTACTCTTGAAAGCTTTTCGAAAGACGCCATCTTGTTTTAAAGCTGTTCTAGCCTGCGAACAGGTCTTCAAAACAAGGTTGACGGACTTAACAACTTAACTTAACTTACTTACTTTACTTTACTTTACTTTACTTTACGGACTGACGCGATAGCAATATATCTGCGCTACGCGCAGATACAAAAAATACATAACTATACATACTACAACAAGGACGAGAGCTGAGAAGCGAGAGTTTGCATGAGAGTTTTGTCTCAAACTATGTTAACTGTGTAACTTTCGGCTCAAAAATGGTTATTTTTATCACGCGTAATACAAATCTATACAAAATTTGCGAACTTCACAGACACAGGGCTATATTTTCCTCATTTTACAACATGATTTCGCAACCAAACATTGAAATTTTACTAATTTTAACATGCTCTTTCTATAGCTGTGTGTACACATAATTAGACATGACTAAAGTTGCAATTAGTTTGTTAATGTCCTCACCTGAAGTAATTTCTTCTTATTCACATCCGCATTAGCAAGAAAACCTTTATTTTTCATTTTCTCTGTCGGGCTCTGTGGAGATATAGCCGGCCTTCGATGGCTACTGACATAGGCGGGCAGGCTTGCTCTTCGAATTCGTGTTGCTCGCTTGTCATACCCCAACCCGTGGTCAGTCTCTCTGGATTTTTCATCCCGATGGTTGGGAATCGCTTCCCTATTTTCACTCCTTGGCGGACGCCTTTCGGAGAACATTTCATTTGCAGAACTTCTCCTTAATTTCGACTCTCTTTTCTTCGACCGAAGTCCTTTGAATTTTTCGCTGGATATATAACTTGGTGTAGAATATGAACGCACTACTCTACGGCTCGCTTGGGCTGGCTTGGTCATTTTTTCTTTGCTTGTTCCCGTTGACATTTTGTAATTTTTGTTGCTCTGCAATGATAGGTCTTTAAAGGAGGAATCAAGATCATCGCCTGTAGTTTCACTCCGTTGTTTTAAACCAGATGAAAACCCGTTGTGTTTCGTCGTACTGTCTTTCGCTTCCCCATTCCTTCTTGCAAAGACAACTTCATTTTCAATTTCAAAACATTTAATAACATTTTCGAACTCGGCGCTTCCGACCGTAAGCCCGGAACGTGTGGGGAGCACAAGATTGTACATATTTAAACCGGCCTTTTTTCGCATTTAACTTTGAGCGAGGTTCTGTCTGTGATTGCTAAGCCAACTCGAAGGCCTAGTTTTGTTCCATGTTCTGAGTAGGGGGTTATTTTGGTGATTATTTAAGTAATGATAAAGACAAATACATTTGCCCGAAAAATGTCATTGTTAATACTAAATACAGATTGTGCAATATTTTTAATGACACTGCTAATCACTGTGAATGAATAGATAATCGCGGTACTAACCGACGTATTATGGCTTTAAATTAAAAGTATTTTTATGTGGAAAACTATAAATAGTTAGGAATGTGGTAAAAATAGATTTCTCTGTCTGTTTGTGGTGTAAGCAGCACGTCAATTTTTCGTCCTGTTCGTCCGCACGTTTTGATTAGAGAGTTTAAGTTCGACTTCCAATACCAATACCGATACCAATGTTTTCATTTCCGTTCTCATTTTGGTACCGGGAATTTCAAAGCGTTTTAAAAGTTACCACGACAGATAAAGTATAGAACACAATAATCGTGACCGAAAATGTGCGGTATACTAAACGGCAGCTGAGCTAAATTTCCAACTAAAACATGACTCAGGCGATGCTAATAAACAAATAGTTTACATGTTTATCGTAAAAATTATGAAATACCCGATTTATATGAGTTTATCTTACAATCCCCCCGACTTCCAATACAAGGCCGACTTCGGTAGTAGTGACTTCCAATACACTTGTCCTCGTGCTTCTTGCAAGCAGAGAGCATGCACGTGACATGTTGTTAGTATCGGTATTGGAAGTCGAACTTAAACCATAGACTTAAACGCTCTAAAGGCGGTTTTCCACTAGGCGAAATTTTTCGACCGAATCGAAATTTCTCTTTGTTTTATGAGCTCTCAAGCAGAACTAATTGTAAAAAGACAAAGAGAAATTTCGTTTCGGTCGAAAAATTCCGCCTCGTGGAATCCGGCCTTAAAGGCCTGATTCCACG